ATCTCAAACTTCAAATATCAACATTTTTCATATTTCAAACCTGTACGATGTAGTACAGTTCTAAAGTATATATTACTGTCACCAAGAGTAAGCTTATTAGCTTAGTTTACACTAGCATTAGCATTTCAACAAGGTGACAGTTTATTACAAGTTTCACACAAACATTCAGTTATCAGTTGACTTGGTGTGCGCAGACATATGTCATATCTCAAATTCCAATATCAAGCATATCAACTTATTTTATCAAATCTTGCATATCAATATCATTAATATCTCAAACTTCATAGATCAAACATCTCAAACTTCAAATATCAACATTTTTCATATTTCAAACCTGTACGATGTAGTACAGTTCTAAAGTATATATTACTGTCACCAAGAGTAAGCTTATTAGCTTAGTTTACACTAGCATTAGCATTTCAACAAGGTGACAGTTTATTACAAGTTTCACACAAACATTCAGTTATCAGTTGACTTGGTGTGCGCAGACGCCACATGGCTGCAAGTTGGCACAGCTTGCAGTCACCCCACACATTGGGGGAAGCAAAGCAAGTCAACTGGACCACGACCAATACTGCCAAGACCCCCCTTCCCAGCAAGATACTTGCACACATCTTGATTCGTAGATGTGCAGGCCTTTAGCAGACTTAGAATTTCCCATTATTAAGAAAAGGTTTTACAACACATAAGGCAATTAATCCTTTACCAAATGTGATGTATCTCACTTAATTCCTCAATGCCTAATAAAGCTCTGTCTTGTAGAAACTTACATGTCTATTAATTCCTTCTGAAATGTTTGAGCAACCTTGCAATGCTCTTTACCCCCACTGTTTTTTGTTTCTCCATTATTCAAGGCATGTAAGATCTAAATGGTTGTAGTTAATCAAAATTAAAGTTTCCAAATAGGGAATATTTCACTCAAGAGAACTACCTACATCATAATTCCTGTTTAAAATTTGCTAGGAAAGCCATGTCCTGCTGTTTGAAAAGAACCAAATTTTATATCTCCGAAAGCGACACATTCACCCTCTAATTACCGGTAAACAATTTAAGCAGAGCAATTTGAAATTCTTAGTCATATTCAATTACAAGAAGGTACAACACTACTTAGTGGTGGTTACAAATGCCTGTAAAAAACAATACTACCATTTTGGAAGCATACTGGCCTTGTTTAATATTCCTACAAAAAATACATTACCTAGTATTCCAATTTGTATATCATACTTACCAATTAAGCTGCCATGAAGATATTTGGCACTTAATAGATCCCGATTTAAAACTAGGATTTTTTGGCTGCAATTTCATTACCCATGCTTGCAGTACTTGTGTACTCGACTAATCTTATTGATGTGCTAATTGACTAAATCCCTTCCCTCTTACATATTCTTTCAATAAATATTATCAATGCCTGTGAGACATGTATGTGCATCTGAGCTCTACAGCTCTATATGACCACAATCTTCCACTGTGTAGCCCAAATGCATAGCAAAGTCTAAAATTCTTTAAGGTATAGATGTTTAATTATTAATTACATCAAATGGAAATATTTTATTTTACACAATATGCAATGAGCCTGAATACACCTATTACATGTACTGCTATCAATATGTGCTTGACCTTTCTTAATAGTATTTGATTAAAAACATACACCAAGTGAAACTCATTTTAAATGCAACCCCAGGGGACAATGCAAAGTCTTAAGTTTTAAAGTCTGCATAATAAGAACAGAGTTACAAAATATAAGCACCCTGTGAGGAACTTTAATAGCCCGAACATCTCAAAATTGAAGCCAAATGCAAATTCAAGGTTGAGCAATTTGTATAAAATTCCAAAAACATATAAACTTCCTGTGAGAGCTCTTCCGAAAAATTATCGATACATTGTTATCGATTTAAGGAACTTGCCTAATTGTGTCACTTCTTGTGTGTAAAATTAACCAGAGTTTTATTAGGACCATATATTTTATTTGCAACATACATTCTGTCTACCTACATTTCAAAATCCAATATCTCTACTGAAAGCTTTTCCTGATCATCCCAAAAACTTTAAGAAAATAAGATTTAACATTTTCTTTTTGCTTTAATTATTAAGAACCAAAATATATTCATTTATAAATGATTTCAAAACATCCTTAACATTCGTTGGGCTACATATTGCAATTTCCATCCTTTCATTTCCACTTTATTAGAGCAAAACAAAGCTATCCTAGTAATTCCAGTCTTAGGCAATGGATGGTTTATGGTTATAAATAAGTATTTTGTATTTTCATTTTCATTCAAGAATTAATATGAATTGATACATTATGTTGTTTAACAATTAAGATGTCCCCCCTTCCTCATTTTCACCTTTGTATTACTATATTTCAATGACTGTCTCCAATTGAATAGCTAGCAAATGGAATCAATGACGAGAAAGCTCCAACAAATACTGACTTGAAAAAGGCACTTTCCAGAGGATCATTGCTCCCGGCTCCAAATTTAGATCTCTTTACTTTTTAAAGTCATCTATAATGAGTAGGATGCCCAATTTCAGTGTAAATCTATAAAATTTATGATATGCAACTGATCTTATCATTTGCTTTATAAATATCAGGGGCTTTCACAACATTAGAGAGTAATATTTCATGAATGCAAAGAACTAAACTCAAGGAAAATTGGGTGCATTTAAATAGCTATAACAAAACTCTACTCTGGAAAAGATATGTAGTTCATGCTCCTTTTTACTTACATTCATCACAAACTTGAGATATATATACTATATCCGCCTGAAAATTTTGGCATTAATGCATAATAGTTTTTAGCCATGTTGAAATGCCTAACAGTTCTGAGTCATGTTGTAAGTAATGCCTAATAATTCTGAGCCATATTGTAAGTAATGCCTAATAGTTCTGAGCCAGGTTGATCCATGTTGTATTTAATGCATGGTAGTTTTTAAGCCATGTTGTAATTAATGCCTAATTGTTCTGAGCCATGTTGTAAATAATGCCCCATACCTCTGAGCCAGGTTGAGCCATGTAGTTAGTTGTACCTAGTAGTTTCCAGATATATTGTAGTTAATGCCTAATTGTTCCGAGCATGCTGCAGATAATGCCCAATAGTTTGAGCCACATAGAGCCATGCTGTAAGTAATGCCTAGTAGTTTTCAGCCAAGCTGTCATTAATGCCTAATTGTTCTTAGCCACATTCTGAGCCATATTTTAAATAATGCCTTAAGCCTAATAGTTCTTAGCCATGCTTTACATAATGCCTAATATTCTACAATCAAACAAAACGTTGCAACTGTTTACATTCAAACCTGAATATCTACAATAGAAAAACTGAATATAATCTCACAAATAGAAAGTTAATGAAAATGTGCAATGGATCTGAAACATTCTTCTTATGTTACATATGAAAAATTAAGCTGCTGTATTATCTGCACCTAACATCACCTAGCATTACAAGAGCATATATCAAAACAATCTATAGGGTTATTTTGACCATAATTTCAGGCAACTGCAAGTCCTTATTCTGAGAGATATCAAAGTTAAATTTAATGATTTTTAAAATTGTAGATCTGCAGCTATTTTAGGAAATTATTTTATTGTAACCTAATTTGTAAGATTTACAGGTTGTCAAAATTCTCCCTCTAATTTTGAAAGTTAACATTTCTTAAACAAATTATTAGTTATAAAAGCAACATCAAAAGCCATGCTGACAGACTTTGTTTATGATTTTGTTTCAATCTACAGTGGAAAAGACAACATGTATACACACTCAGCTATTAAAGCAATACAAAGGTGACTGATGTACCTGATATACTGGACTGTGAATCTGTGATGATACTTATACTTATGTCTGGTTTTCCAAACGGTTTAAAGATAATTTTCTATGCTTTTCTCTGACTTTTAGTCTTGTATTTGGGTCCATGTCCACGAGAAGGTCCGACCGAGTTTCCTTATTGTTGTTTCATAGGACCTATTTTAGTTTGCATTTGCCGGGTTTCGAAGCAGTATGAAACAAAAAGAAAGTTATTAATGTTAATAACCAACATTACATCATTGTAAAACAATACAAAGGTACAAGTAAACGATTTTTGGTATAACCGCGTGCGCGTCGTCTGCTTTGTAAAATGTTTGAATCCAATCTCATCCGTCATAATTAATGCACATCGATATTAATAACAGCGTTAAAATGGTTGAGAACAATGCATAAATGAAAAATCATACGATTTTTTAAAGTTACAAAACAACATTTCATGTATTTTATTGCAATCAATTGTTATGCGTCTTTACCTTTGAAAGGTTCAGGAGAAAGGAATGTGAATAACAATCCCGACCTTTTATATACTACACTTGATGTGTCAACCGAACCCGACCCTTAAAAGCCAACGTTCAAATAACAAATACTTGGGACCTATAAACTAGGATATAGGTCCCTTCAAATATACTTTTCTCGTAAAATAAAGGCATCTATTTTGTATACAAAATAGATGCTATTAATGCATTACTTAAGTTTCTATCTAATTCTATTTGTCAAATTAAGATGCTTTAATTGAACACATTATATGCAAGTATTTTCCAGTGTTAAGTAAGAAACTGTATTATTCATCAATTTTAAATGCTTTGTCGTCTTTTTCAAAACATTTTTCTTGGGTGTAAACGTCTGAAAAATTGTAACTTTTGTTGAAAATGAAATACATGTACATGTATAGATCAACTCTATAACTATAATTCTATAACTCTATACATTACCCTTATGCAGTTTACATGTAATTATCCAAATGTACAATAACGTTCTTTTAATATTGTAAAGAGGTTCTGTAAGCTTACAAATTCAATTTTGTTTTATTCTAATTCATCAAAGTATGTTTATCCTTAATATTCTTACCTTCACCTTTCCCCCAAATGGAATACATATTTTAACTTAGCATTTATCAGAATTACCATTACTAATTTAATTATTGGCTAAGATTAAAGATACAAGAAACGAGCATACCGACTTTTTTTAAAATAAATTCTTCTGGAAGCGTGCATATCCTCCATACTACTGTATCATGAATTATAGATAAACAATGCAACATTACGTAGTTAAGTCAATAATTTAATTTGAATTCTTCGTTGCACCTGCCCATGACACCTGCTGCATACCGTCAGACATGGACGATAAGAATTTGATAGAAATTCTAGGTACCTGTCACAGAAGTTTTTACTATGGAAACATACATGATTCTTGTTAACACATTTTTTACTTTACTTTTTGTGAACTTTTCCCTGGAACAATGTATATTCACAGGTAAATATTTGATACGTTTTTCAATTTTTCATTTGTAAAATTCAGCATACTTTCCACTTTATCATTAATGATAGGTATACATATATATGGTGCTACTTCAACTAAGTTCTTAATAAACGGCTTAATTTCGTTTTTAAGCTTTAAGTTCTCAATTAAAAGTAATTTAATTGTACTTTTTAAGTTATTTATATTATAATTAGTAATGTAACTTCATTAAAATTATTCCAGGAAAAATTAATAGACAAAATGATGATAATACATGTAAAAAATAAAATGCTGCTATTTCATGTTCTCTTTTCAAATCCAACCATTTGAAGACAAGTGTGTTTCCGTTATCGATAAAGGAAGATACTATAGAGGAAAAGTCTCACTGACAAATAAAGCAGAAACCTGTCTAAACTGGGACAGTCATGATTATGACGTCACTCCAAAACAGTACCCGGATGAAGGATTAGAGAACAATTACTGTAGAAATCCTTTAGGTAGTGGCAACAAACCGTGGTGTTATACAAAGCTGAACCACACATCTAACGACTACTGGGGGTATTGCGACATTCCTGCTTGTGGTAAAAATATTTCTGTATCTACATGCATAATGTATGTTTACGATGTTCATTCGCTTTTTGCTCTCTTTAATATGAAATTTAGCATGTATAAATAAAGGAAATTCACATCATAAAGCAAGACAGAATATTAGATGTTACTTAACTTTCACGCAGTGTGTAGAAGCATCTGTTTGTAGTGAATAAAGCAAAAATTAACCATACATTTAGTTTGTGTGAATATATTGCAAATAATAAGCCTTTTTTTCTTTGGAGTTAAAGTATTAAAAGTTAAAGGAAAATGTTAAAATATTCAGAAAAGATTTTTTATTCGTTTCCAGATCCCTGCTACTTCAGAGGAATACAGTTTAAACAAGAAGACGCCTTCCATGATGGTTGTTCGCAATGTATCTGTTTAGCGGATGGGTTTCACTGTTATCGGTAAGTCTTGGTGGCCAGAAGATCCAATTCCAAAACATTAAACGACTAAGAAAAAAATGTGGATACCTGTGTTATTCTTTTATTTTATTTAGATATAAAAGATAATACATGAAATAGTCTTGAAGAATAGGGAAAGTTTAGACGAATTTTCTTAAGGTATTCTCTGAAAATATTCGCGAAAATCTCTTTGAAAGAGGGTCGAATAATATATTCCTCCAATATATTGCTATGGAATCTTTATGATGCTAAAGATTTTTGTATATATCAAATATATTTTGCTTTAAGTATTTCAACTTACACTCAAGGAGAGATTCGGTTCATATTTGTGAAATGTTCACACATACAAGGAAGGAGACAATACTACTAAGTGATAACGCCATTTCAGTTTAAATTGATCGTCTTTTTAATGGCAAGGACTCGAAAATTGGAAGAGTAAAAAATTACAGAAACTTATCTTGCCATTTTTTCTACAGCAAATAAATCAAAGATTTTTTTTCTATGCTGCTCTTTGCCAAAAATGTAGTCCCTTTTAAATTTTCAACCCGATAAACTAATTCTTTCTCATGTTTAATATTGGTAAGAGGGAGAAAATGTTATCCTGACAGGTAAAATTTCTCATACCTCAAAATAAAGGATACTAATACAAATATACTTCAGTATTTTAATAGGTTAGAAGCTAAACAAGAGTGACAACTTTACTGTATGACTTTGCACGGATTTTGACTGTTGTAGTATCTTCTTTTACATCATTGTACACCGATGTGTGACATAATTTAAAACAAGCTGAATATCAATCACAGAAATAAAAGATACGTGTACTCCTTGAAACATATTCTTTTTACTATAATTAATCAATGATAATTTTGTAGTTGTCGAGATGACCCTCCTCCAGCCAATGGAACAGACCTAGCTTGTTACATTAAAGAAAATCCCAGAGCTAAATATCCAGCCTGCTGCAAGAGAACGGTCTGCCATGGCAGGGATGCAGATTTTAACTTCGAAGAGTTCACAAAGTTCCTTAAACAAAAACTTCACATTTAACATAGTGAAGTTTGAAAAAAAAATTAGAAAATTATGCAATTCTGGATTTTCAGTTACATTAGACAAAATGATTGCCTTATATTATTTAATTCTTGTGACAAATGTCTTTTAAGATACTATCGACCAGTCTGGTATAGATATTCTTTCATTTTACCAACTTCACTAAAGTAGACAAAATTAGATGGAAATTAATAAAATTCTACTTAATGTCAGATTAGTGTTGTTTTCGCCGGAAAGCCTTAAGATGTTACTTAACTTCACATAACCTCTTGGAAATAATAAGGCCGTCATTTTAATCTACACACATTTATTTTTATTTGTGATCAATTAATAAGCAATTACATCTAATACTATAATTGAAGTTGTTGATACATAACTTTGAGAAAAAGTGAATTCAGATCATTGGAAAGCTCAAGGTAAAAAAAATTGATCGATGATGTACTTGAATAGCTACTATAATTTTGAGTGAACATATAAAGTTTGATAACAATATCTTGAATAGTTTCTTTCAAATATTTAATTGTGCTAAGCACGAAACGGAAGAAAGAAAGATGGGCATTTCAAACACTATATCCCCGGTCATATTTATGGCGGGGCATTGAATCGTTTTTAAAGTGACTTCGATTTGACTTTGTAAAGCTTCTTATATTCTAAGTCAATCTCGTAATACACGTCAAATAATTATTCCTTTGCAAAAGGAAACAAGAGACTGGACAACCTTTTCCGCTTAGATTTTTTCAGTTTCATTGAAAATACAGAATCACGTGCTCCGATCGTCTGTTTCTCAGGACAAAACAACAATTTGTTTGAGGAAGAATGGTAGAAGATCAAAAATGGAGAACACGATTTATGCATTTCCGTGTCAATAGTACGAATCATCTTTCCGGAAAACGAGAAGCACTTAAAAGATGTGGACTCTTCAGAAGCCACTACAATGCGATTTTTGCCAACTATGGTGAGTGACTTTGGAATGGATAGGTCAGTTGCCTCCCATTTTATCGATCCATCTTGATCTAGCGCCACAATTGTCCGATTTCGTTGATCTGTTAGAAAAATGTGTTTCCCATCTGCACTACACACAACATATTTTGGCGAAGCTAACCTTGGGATTTCAAAAGTTTTCAGTAAGCCACCTCTCAGATCATACACTCGAATGAGTGGCTTGGGTACAATGCAATCTGTCTGAAGTTTGCAAGAGATATAGAATTGATTTGCAGCAAAGTGTATGCCGTGTATGGAAGCTTGCCCTGGAAAGATACATTTAATACATTTTTCGGGAAGCTCGACAATCTGTGCATTTCCGATGGTAAATATTTTGATATTGCAACCACAGGTTGCGGCTACATCCGTCTTATTCATTGTTGTGATATCCTCAAAACGATCGGTAAACTCTTTCTGAAACAAAAACTTTCCTTCTAATCCGAAGATTAGCAACTTGCCATCTCTTGTCGTGATGGCGATTCGGCCATCATTTAAGGCAACCATTCCAGTGCATGAAAGCTTTAACTTTTTGTGTGACGCCTTCCTCTCTTTTTTCTCTATTGGTTTTGGTGGTTGGCAGACCTCTCCAACCTTACTATATGGACCCTCTCCAAAAGTGCTAGTTCTACATCGATGTTTCGCGTTGTAAAGCTCGGTTTCTAGTTCCATATCAAGGTAGGAATGAGTATCGGAAGAAGAATCGTTAGGTTCCTCATCCGTTAACAGTTCAAGCTTCTCAAACAATCCTTCTTCAATGTTGTCCCCAAATTCAGCACTAGTGTGGTGGTTTGGAGAATACGCATAAACTGGTCCTTCTTCAAACACACAATATGCTTGATGAGAAGAGTGAAAACATCCTCTGTCAAATACTAAATCAGCGTACACGATATTAAAACGACTTTCATTGGTATGTGTGGTGTTCACGTAGTCAGCCATGCTCACAAGTATTGTCTTAAAACTAAATATCAAAGTGTGAGATTAATTGTTTGTGCGCATTTTTTAATCAGGCCATTACGTGGAAATGTATCGTTATGAATAAAACTATTTCATTTTCGATTGAATTCGGAATGGAAAGATAGGGATTGTATCACTCAAATACATCACTTTAAGTGTTTTGTTTCCTTATTGTATATATTCTCGTCGAAATTTTAAGGATGTAGAAATGAAAGCATAATTATTGGAATTTCCTTGTTCCTCAACAAAAATCTATTTTAGAAAGTCAAAAACGTCCTTATTTAAAAAAAATTACATACAGATGTTAACATTTTAGTTAAATTTAAATATTTTTAACAATTGTCTAATAAGCTTTTTTAGTCAAAATTAACATCCTCTACTTTTAAATTTAAAGAAATGAAAACATAGAAGCAAAATTCTTCTTTTTTGAACTCTTCATCTTCAGAAAGAAAATGAAATCCTTTTTTCCAACAATATGTACTGTTGGACAGAAAAGCAGCAGTTCAGATTGAGTATGGTATGACAAAAGAATAGGCAGAGGTATCCCATCAGACTCAGCAAGTACTACTCGCCGTAAAGTACCTTGATAAGAATAGAGTTTCAATGAAGACGTTCTTTGAAAAGACACAACAAGCGTCTCTTCTGGAAGATTTGCTAGTGATGTAGGAATTTCTTCATCTTCCTTCTTCCACCTAATTTGTCCGTCTCTGTTAAGGGCATATAATGTCTTTATTTTCGGATCTGTGACAAAAATATGTTTCTTGTCAAGACTAAATGCTACATCCTCTGGTGATACAAGTCCGGGAATCTGGATTGTCTTTGTAATTTTTCCTTTCTTGTCAACAACTCCAATAAAAGGGCTTGGATTCACGGATTGCAAATTGCATGTTACAACAAATTCTTTGTGATCGTAATGAATGGCATGAACAGTCATAAATCCATTGCATTCAAAGTCAAGGCATTTGTCTGTTATTTCATAAACATTGCTTTCCTTTACTTTGTAAAAACGAATACAGAATCCACAAGTTGCAGCTATACTTGAGTCCGGTACTGTCGTTACATCCTCAAAATGTTCCTCAAAATCTCTCAAAAACGAAAAGGAACCAGTGACCCCGAAAACGATAATTTCTCCGTCAAAGGTAACTACAACAACACGATGATCATCCAACACTGTCATGCCAGTGCATGCCAATTTTGAAGTTTTTAACATCGTTTTACGTTTGTTAGAGGGGGAACTTGGAGGAGATCCTCTTTCATAAGGACCTTCTCCAAAAGTATTGGTACGACATCGCATTGTTTGAATCTTGATCTCCTCATCAACATCTATATACGAATGTGAGCTTCCTTCGGAATCAGAATCGGAATTTTCATTGTCTGATATAAGGATCACGTGTTCTTCAAAACATTGGTTTTCATACACGGGTTCCTTTTGTGATATCAGGATTTCATCTGCATCCCCATTGCTTTCGTAGACACAAAATGCTTGATGACAAGAGCTTAGTGATCCATCATCAAATACTAAATCGGCATATACCAGACAGTTTGTATTTTTCTTCGTTTCATTAACATATACAGAGCTTTCATCTATATTTTCATCTATGCTTTCATAATTTTCATCCTCGGCAACGTCGCTTGGAGAAGATTTAACCATTTGAGGATGACGGACTGACGGAATGCTTTTTGATTCGTTGAAATAATCATGATTTGTGTCATCATTTATCTCATTATACTCCTCGCTGTCGCTACTCCTTCTATCTTCTGTTGTAGAAAGGTCCGCCATTCTATTCAGAATGATAGCGATTAATGTCAAATTTCAATTATCACATTTAGATATATCCAATATAACAAAATTGGATTCACACGAATAGTTTCCCTTTAAGTCATCTAAAATAAATCTCGATTATAAATTTTCTTCCTCTGTTTTTGGAGTAAAACATTTTTTCTGGTGAGCAATTTTTTTTTCCGGACAAAATGAAGCAAAAAATAAGAGCAAGCTGATTTTTAAGTATATGTTTATATTAAAATCAAACCATTTTTAAAAAAAAAGTAATGATAAAACATCTATATAAACATGTGTTTCTGCATATATGCTATAATCAGGAAATACTTTATTTCAGGAAATAAGTCGAGAATAACTGATTGAGAATTCTGTACCACTAAAAATAGGAAAAGATTAAACATTCATTACCCAATCAAATAAACTGAGGTGTTCCGCAAAGATGTATAACAAAGAGTTTGATAAAGGGTGAAATAGGGAATGCGCGTCCGTTTTTATATTACATTTTCAAAACTCTTGTATAATAAAACACATAAAATAATATTCGATAAAAACATTCATATAAGGAATTTCAAATCGGTCAAAATTTTAGAATCGACTACTCCAAGTTTGATCTTGTTTGAGAGATTCTGGGGGATATGAGATTAATGGCCAGATGGATCCGACATGTTGGTCGACAAATTTGCTGCAGAGAACTGAAAGTTAATAGATTTAAGACATACATGCACAATGGTAATCAAGAAAACTGCTTAATTTTCTTCTCTCAGAGTAAACAAAAACTGCAATAACTCGGCATGTCATGATTGTATTTTGATATATTACGAGAAGAGATGGTTTATATTGTAGATTCACATAGTTCTCCTGTGTATCCGATTGGACAAAAGCAGTAAAATTCGCCATCACCGGCCGCGCTGATGTCTGAACACGAGCCGTTATTTTGACACGGAGCAGAGGCACAGTTCACTAAAAAAAAAATCTGACAAGTTCATACAGTAAAGAATAATTGACAATTGTTAATTTCTTCATTTTATGAAAATATTCCATTATGTGTTTTGCTATATAACATTGACTATTGGTGGCTATACATTTTATTCTATAATAACTCTGCTATACTTGAGCATGTCTTCAAATTATATATCAATTTTAAAAATACCTTTCTCTTCGCATCGTGTTCCACCATATTGTATACCACACAAACATTTGTAGAAATCTCGATATTGTTGACAACTCGAATGATTTAAGCACGGGCTACTGTCACAAAGATTGGCTACAAAACATTGTGATTTATACATAATTCCATGGCCGAATCAATTTCAAAAGTAAGGCGAAAGGTAGTATATTGAGTTAAAGTTAGTACTCGTATTATTGTATCAATTGGAAAAGTTTAGTGGCGATTTTGAAAAGGCTCTCTGAAACCATTTTGAACTGTCTGAACACAAAATTTGAATATTTTAAATTTTTGCACCTGCTGGTTTTTTTTTCTTTGAATTGATTATGATTAATTGAGAAAAAAATGGCCAACCCTTCTCTTCAAGAATTTTTGGAAGGTTTTTTTTTTAATTTTAAAGATGAGAGTCTCTTATTTTAGAAAAAATAATTCCAAAATGAAAATCATTTAAGATAATTCAAAACAGAAGGTTGTGCATTTAAGGGGGCCGAGTGGGGTTTTATTGTGTGAAAACTACAATAGCGAAACTCTTCATTTTTATACCATATATATAACTTACATTAACTTTAGTGCACATGTAAAGTTTGGGCGAAATCTACCGTCCAAGTATTTTTAAGGGACCGTCTCAAAATATAGGTACATTTACTATAGGATTATATAGGAAAGTGTCAATTTTTAACACTTTAAAGCAACTTATACAAATACAAAAACAAATAGAGTTTTTGTTCAAATTATAATATATGATGAGTAATACTATATTGTACGTTATGTGTAAGAGACACAAAATTCTACCGTCTTTTTACTAGAGGGGGCATCTCAAAAGGCAAAAAATTAACGAATTTTCCTGTTTTTATCGAGTGCTCCAAATTATGACGGGCACAAAGGTATTATATGAAAAAATGTATATATGTTTATTTCTTTTTATTTAATAACATTTTTATTACCCCTCTCCTTAAGAGTTTCAGATTATCTTAACGTCAAAAACAAACTATAACGACGTTAACCTACCCACTTGTATCATTTGCAAAATCGGTTAAAACTTCAGTTATATAAAATTGTAATCACATTTTTAAACCTGTAATTTCTTAATTTTGTTTAATTTTATTAATCAGGAGAAAAAAGCTGGTTTAAAACAGTAAAAACGTGTCATTTTACTATGATGCGCGAAATATTGCGCAATGAAAACTACAGTCGGCCCCCTTAAAATTATAAACATGTATTAATACTATGCATTATATAATCATGTAAATCAAATAACTGAGAATAACAGAATCTTTATAAATTGTTTCGCGGAAATAGATCTAGACTTTGAAAGAAAAAAATATCTCCCAAAATGGCACTCTCAACATTTAAACAAGAACAAAACTTAAAGAACAGTCATATTTCTTCTAAATCATAGCAGTATTTTAATTTTTTTGTATAATTATATGGTAATTATTGAATAGATACAAGTTTGACAGATGGATTGGAAATCGAAATCAATTGCAACGAATTAATTACAGGATTCAATTGAGGCACTCCCCTTTTATGAAAATTTTCCAAAGTTAGACAACTATTTTACATTTTGACTACTCATTAAACTTACAACTTTAAATACATTTGGTTTGACATAATAATACTTCTTAATGTACATACTTCTCAAATTTTCATAAAATGTACGTTTTAATATGAAATGAAATTCATTTTCAATATCATTAGAGGAGCATAGTGTGCAAATTCTTTGAGATCTAAGTGTATTATTATATATCTATCAATTCCATTCTTAATTGGTGGTTTGATAATCTTATTCTCTTATATCTATCATCAATAGGTTTTGTTAAATATCTTTGTAATACAAAATTATTTACAACGCACTGGTACAATTGTCCTTTTGAAGATGAAGTTACAAATGAAAAAAATATTTTGTCTATAAGTATCAGCCATCCTTTGCTCATTATTTTATATAATATATATATTTACATATGTTAAATAACTTGCTCCCCAGCTCCTCTTTAATACACATAATCCAATGTATTTATGTATTCTTATGCTTATATGCAAATAAAACAAATAAAACTTTCATAGAGATGAATAATGTCATTTATTAAAATGACGGTATAAATGTGAACAATTTAACAAACAAGAAGGGGATCAGATTCACAAGCTTTGATTAGCAGTTACGTAAAATATGATAATGTCTGATCCCCCAAAACTGACTAGAAAAAAGTATCTGTAAGACAAGACAATGAAAACTTCATATGAAAAAGTTAGCAAAAAGATGGCACATCAAAACAAAATAGGCACTTCATATGAAAAAGTTAGCAAAAAGATGGCAC